ACTTGATCTTAGCCAAAAGGCCGATATTTCCCCAGAAATCGCGTTAATTACAATGAAATACTGATCAAAATTAATAGAAATATTGTATCTATTAACAAACTCGATGTAATTACATATTTCAACATCAGCATTGATTAATTGTTTAATCCAAATTATACCATTCTTAACCCAATTATAAAAACAAGGTTTTATTTCTAACTTTTATATATCTGTTGTTCCAAATAGTAAATCTATGAGGGGAAAAGTTATGTTTACACATAAGTGACCACGTTAGAAGTACGTTTATGAAAACTAGAAAGTTTCAAGGGGATTTTTCCAATGTCAAAGTTACACTTAAGTAAAAACTCTATACCCCTAATTCTTGAAATATCAAATTGGGGATTATATGCCACATACTTTGCTAATTATTTTAATAGTTTTGTATCCATTTAATCTTAAAAATAGCATTAGATGTCCTAAAATCTAAAGCATTTAAGCCCCCTTCTGCCTGTGGACGACAAATAATCTTTTTTTTAGGATATTGGGGTTTTTGCGTGTGTACATGTGGCAGAGCCGGAAGCCGGTGAAGTCCCGTGCTGCGGACACGATGATTGGCTGATCGCTTGCAGCCTTTGTGTTACGTCAGCTTGCTGCTGCGAGAGGTGTCTGGGTCCTGGGACGGTGTCGGCTGGTCTGGAGAATTTAGCCGGTTCGCTTTGTGCGGGATTAAGCGGAGGGGAGAAACAGGCACTATTGGAGGGTGTTCTGGCTTGGGGGGTAGGTATATCCGATATTGGGCCGTGTGTGTGTGTGGGATGTGGGGAGACAGGAGGTATGTTGTCTGCAGTTTGACCTCTGTACTTGTGCGCTTCTTTATGACGATCCTGAGTGCCAAGCGGCAGATGTTCGCGTGTGTTAGTGAGCGCTTTTTGATGATGAGTTTACGTAGGATGTTCAGGGGGTTTCTGTGAGTTTGAGCTTTTTTAAAAAAATAACAGTCGTCTGCTGGCGTTTGCGGATGAACTGGTTACTGGTTCCCGGTTCCCATTGGAGATGCGCAGTCCGCACACCGGTGTGTGTGCCATCTGAAGGCGAGAGCCGTGCAGGATTGCATCAGCGCTTCTGCGTCTCTTCACATCGCTGTCAGATCGATGCTTTTGGAGAACATTAAACTGCTCCAGTCGTGCTGTATGTTCTTAGGAAGAGAATCGCTGAAGTGTAATGAAACAGCTCTCCAGAGGGTGCGGGCAGCGCTGTGTCAGCTCTCGGTGTCCAAACTGCTCTGACCCACACCCCAGGTCACAGAGGGAAGTGGGGGAGACCACACAGAGCCCCAGCACCAGCCCAAAGCACACCATACAAGCTGTGGTTGGAAATTTGTTTTTTTTTTAGAAATAACCTTCAGGTCCTGCTCTGGTATTTCAGTGTTTGTATTTACTTTTGCGCAATTTCCTGTTGACTCTCACTTGCAGTAAGTACAGTCTGCTCTGGAGGGTTAGCGCCAAAGTCAATACTACACTGTTTACCTCCTAGCTGGGCTCAGGTTAGCTGTAGTACTT